CAACAACTAATTAATCAAATTTGTTAAAAATTTTTTTATTTTAATATTGAAATTATATAGAATTAAAATAAAAAAAATTTTGATAAGATAATTGCTAAGATATTTAAGCCTAAAATTATAAAAACTTTTACTTAGAAAAAATTTGTTCCTTTTCAATTGATTTACCCCATATATGCAAGAAGAAAAAAAAAGAAAAAAGCAATATATTCAAAAACTAGTGTTTAAATCAGCTTTTAAATACTAACAAAAAGTGTTGGAAATATAATTTTATATATAATATATAAAGCTAATAACCCTAATATAAACCTAACACAAACCCAAACCCAAACCCTAAACTAAAGCAAAAAAATACACATTACTACATAATAATCACATTACTGCAAAAGTGTCTAGACCCTAGCACAAATTATCAACCAAAAGCCATATACCCATATGACTTTTTTGTATAAATCAACCAATCAGTATTATAAAAATTTGTTTATATGGATTAGGCTAAAGAAGTTAAAAAATAAAAAAATGCAAAAATATAAAAAATAACAGTTTAAACCTGTTTTGAAGTATTAACAAAAAATGTCAAAAAGATGATTTTATCTATAAACTACTTTGTTTCTAACCCCACCCTAATGCTAAACTATTTCTATTTCTAATTTTAATCAAAACTTTGAAAAATTACATGAGTACATGGCTTTAGCCATCTCCTCTGGCAGCAGGAACATGGAAAAATTTATATATATATAGATATAAATAAACCAGAAGTTTTAGTACAAAATAGTATAAAATAAAATTTTTGACTAAACCAAAATTTTGGGCAAAATTAAGAGCAGTATATGGGGGTGCCAGTAAAAACCAAGCAAATCAAAATTTTTTTAAAAATAAGTTTTTTTATTTAACTAATATAAAATTTAACAAGGAATATTTTTTATTTAATAATAAACCTCTTATTAATTAATAAAATCTTAGATATTACGGTTTAGAATTTAAGTTACACAAAATTTTATTTCAATCAGAAACGATCTTCTGATCTTCATTAGATCAGAAAACAGATCATCTAATCTTTGATTTATACGAGTTAGTAGAAACCAACAAATTTATCTAATAAATTTGCTTGGTCGATTTATATTACACAGATTTCGATTAAGGCCAGATATCGGTCATTGTTTATCCAGATACTGATCATTTTTTACCTGGATGTTGATCATTGTTTATATGAGTTTGTGTAACAAAATACAAAAGTCACATTATCTTAAAAATTCAAATTTATCGATTTGCTTGGTTTCTACTAGCACTCTCTCATATGTTTAATTCGAGCCAGATAAGAAAATTAGAACTGTTGGAAAGTTTTAGAAAAGTTTAAAAGATATCAATAAATATAAAATAAGAGCAAGTTAGTTAGAAGATTACAGAGTTATAAAAAGTGAGCTCTCTATCTAGAAAATGAGTACTTATAGAGAAATCTAATTATAATGCATGATAATAATTACTCTAAATGCAATATATTTATTGTAAAATTAAATAGCACTTACTGTATTTTCGCGAAATAATGGGCATGGGTATTATTTAAAAGTTTGGCCCGAATTAAGCTTAATTTAGACTGAAATTTGTAATTTCACCCCTGTACATTATTTTACGAAAATACAGTATGAAGATAGAAGAAGCACTTGCGGAGAATTGACTGTATAGATAAAATAGGAGTGAAATTTTATATCGCTATAAAAATGAATTTTTTACAAATCAAACCAGTATTTTTCCGTGTTCTTGCCTGTAGAGCTTTGTCAAAACAATCCAATTCTGGTCAAATTTGCAGATCATTTGGCCTGGAAAATCCCGGGAAATGATCTACAAATTTGACCAGAATTAGATTTGTTTGACAAAGATCGACACGCATGTGTTTGGTGTGACAAACATTCGTGTGACAACTATTAGTGTGACGTATAAGGAATGATTTTGACTGTGTTATTCGTCACATCAAACTTAGTCACACCTACCTTCGTCACACCCAAAATGGAAATTTTATATTACGAAGACAGGCGTTTAAACGGTTACGATTCTATTCGGTCGGCTAAGCCGCTCTGACCGACTAACATCGACTACGGCTATAGCTACCGGTAATTCAACTTACTTCACAGTACAGTCGTATTCCTCTATAGTCACCTATATAATCGTAACTTCTATATAATCATAAAACTTTAACCAATTTCTTAACAATATTACCTCCTTTGAAGTATGCAGCTTTGTTGGCTTTCGTTTTTTCCAAGGCTTGCTAAATGGTTGTAGGGCATTAAAAAACCTCCATATAAGCACATTACATAGTTGTGTAAAACAAACTGAGCGATTATAGAAGAGGACGCTGTATTGTCAATTTTGTTATTTCATTTAAAGTTTTAATTAATAAGAGACTTTGCATTTTGTCTGTACAAAACATCCAAATTTCATCTAACAACTTTAAGCACAAGCTCTGGTTACTGGAATAGCAAGTAAATTCTATAACAAAGGTTTACAATAACATTATATAAATCATAATACTTTAACTACATAGAAATCATGATAACTCTAATGTAAACTATACATTCTGTGTATACCACAACTCTGTAAGAAATTTTATCCGAATATTTACGTTTTATGTGAATCTGCAACATGATCGACAAAATCTAGACACGCCGAATAATCTCCATGAAATAGGTTATAAATCTCGTGAATATGCAACATTTACGGAAAAAAACAGAATATAAAACACGGATCGACTTTTTTTATAGGGCAATAGTTGGCAAATTTTGTAATAGAATTTTTTACAGTAACTCACTAACGCTAATATAATATGGATGGCGCTTTGCGTCACCCATCACACTATATATATACGGTCTATATTATTAACATATAAATTCTAAATTTTAAATTTTAGCTTTTATGACCAGAAGCCGGCATATTAAATTTTATTTGATATTAATAACATATAAATAATATTAAATTCACAATTTAGCTTTTATGACTCGGCTGGGTTAGAAAACCAATTAATAAATTTTAATTCATCAAAATTTTTTTTATATTGCAATACTGAATAATGAAGTAATTTGTGCTTTTTCGGCACCAAATTGACAATTACGGTATTTTGATTGGATTTCGGATTTTATCAAAACAAATATATTTGGTTTCAAAATTAACAATAAGCGCGAATTTCATCAGAAAAACAAAATAATTCTCTAATTTTAATTCCATTGTAATTTTATAGGATATTGATATTGATTAAAAATGAGAAATAGCGTAAAATAATATTTATGATAGCATAGTATTTGGAACTTTTGCCACGGCAAAATCCGAAACTTTTTCTACAATTGGGATTCTGCACATGACGAAACTATAAGGTTTGGGCTATCATAAATCACTAACTGTAATACTTACACAGTGAATCTCCTGTGAATTCCAACATTTGTATTGTAATATATAGAATAAGTAAATTGATGGATAATTTTAAGTGCGTTGTGAAGCTATGTGTTTATTTTAATGCACTTCCAAGTTTTATATTGCGCAAATAAACAACTATGGCTTGACAAAAAAAAAAACTTTTAATGAACTGTGTAATAATCTTTTCATAAATTTCCTTATTTAAGTTTGCTTCACCTGAACTAGTAGACATATTAATTACTAAAAAAGTTAAAATCAGATGTAATTTATGTAACGAAGCTTTAAAAAAGAAAATGTTTATTCAAGCACAAACAATGAAGTATGATTTCATGTTTATCAGCTAATTATGAAAAGTTTTAAAAAGAATAAATATCATAGAAACTTAAATAGTTTTTATACATTCACTTTATTTACAGTATTCAGCATATTTTAAAAAGCTAGACATAGTTATTTAGCTTTTAAAGCTTTCATGATATGATAAAATTATTTATTTAATTTATACCCTGGTCACTATATCAAGATCGCAGTGCATAAATCAATTATACCCTGGGCGCTATGTGTATAAGTGAGACTTTCAGCCCCGCTTATACCCAACTGCCCAGGATATAACTATTACTTATATTCAGATTATTTAGCTATAATGCACACTGTATAAAAAATGGTGTACATGTATATTTATTTAAAATAGAATTGCCACAAATAACTACTATATTATAATATTATTATATTTATATATACTATATATAACGTTATTCCCCGTTTAACTAATTGTGTTTTCATTCATATTTGAAAACAATTTAATTCATGCTCAAGAGGAAAATAGCCTCCGGCTGACAATTATCAAAACGGGAGAATAATACCTTTATTGCCCGCTGCAGGAAATAATGGCCAATTATTCCTCGGAGTTTTTTCTCCAGTTCCCACCGGAGTAGTAAAAATCCGGAGAAATATTTTATTATCCCTCCGCTTCACAGGAAATAAATAGTACCAAAACAAATGATCAAATCAACTATTAAAAAGAATAGTACTATAAAGCACACCAATGTTTAATACCACATAATTATACAGCTAAAATTTAATATAAAGGCGTCGTTATAAGTTAGAAGTAGAGATTAGAACTAAAGTTAATGTATTAAACGTTTAGAACATCAGACATTAGGTTTTGAAACATAGCAGCCATTATGTTGAACACCATGGTATTTGTTAGTAAAATCGTTTAGATTAAAAAATTTTTTTAAAAATGTTTTTCGAAAATTATAAATTACATTTGATCGAATGGAAACGATAATATAAAAATTGCTAATGTTAATGTTTAATCTTTTATTCACATAAATAAGGATTTTTTTAAAGAATAAACAAAACAAAGTTTGTGAATAATACATTGAATGACTTTCTGGATTCATAGTATGAGGCTCATGAAAGACGTTGCACGACGAGAATTCGGAAACAAACGAAGGCTCATAGACAATGTTGTACGAACGATTGTCTTGCAGAGATGTTGACAAAGCAGCAAGTCTTAAAAATCGGAATACAAGCTATAATATCTATCGTATCAGCACTATACAAATTACTATATCTGATACGTATTGATACATACGTACATACGTACGTACATACTGTACAGTATGTACGTACAGTACATACTTAGTAGAAAGTTCTATTTTTTATATTCTAGAATTAGTAAAAGGGTACACATATTGGTCCAATTTGCACAAAATGACACACGTGACATAAACCAACCAATAGTGTCACACTTGATTATTAAAATTTTAATTTTAATTTTTATATCGCACATGCGATATTGATTGGTTTTTAGGTCACGTGTCCTCTTTGTACGTATTGCCAAGTAAATATGGGGCCTTATTACCAAACCAGACAAATGGAGAATTATAAATCAAAAAAATTACTAATGTTAGTAAAGTTATTGCGATGTATGAATTTAAGTTTCATTCGTTTATGTGAGTATTTCATTTTCGGAAGGTATTCATATCGTTCATATGATAAAGATACCAATATAGTGTAATTTCCCACTAATTTAGAGACTAGCTACGATCATTAAATTTAACTACCGACTATCAATTTTGAGCATCTGTTACAAAAAAAATTATAAATGAAAATAGCATTTTCAGTAGTTTTATAATAACGACGATAAACTACGTATTGATTTGAAATTTCACAGGTACTGCATAATGCACAAGCACAGAATTGCACTACAATAAGTACGTATTTGGTTAAATTATGTTGAACAAGGTCAGGAGAAATTATATAAATACTTAACATCACACAATAAACCTCCAAATTAATACGTACTTCGAAAAATGAACACACTTCCAACCGAGTGTTTAGCAAAAATTTTTGTCAATCTTAAAGAATATCGTGGCAGCTTATTTTCTTGCCTTCTTGTAAACCGTCAATGGTGTTTAAATGTTGTACCCATATTATGGAGTGAATTATACAAATTTAACAATAGTAATTTAGTTAGAACATGTCTTTTATCGTTAAACGAAGAAGAACAAAAAATTTTAGTACCGTTTAACATAACGCTTCCAAATGAACCAAGACCATTTTTTAATTATACAGCTTACACAAAAGTTATTACTTTAAATTCCGATAAGGGAATCTTAAAGTGGCTTGAAAATGATTTTGGTTCTAATTTTTTTAAGTTTACTTGTTATTCAACTCCAGAGATGATTATTGCTGTTAAATATTCATTAATTACAATGCTTTTACGAACAAGTGAGAAACTTAGAGATTTAAACGTTTATGGTAAAACTGAAAATTTATTAGGAAGAATTCTTAATAAAAGCACAACACTAACTTCCTTAAAATTATCAAATAATAAGTTTTGTTCGTATGGAGAAAAAGCATTAGCAGAATCTCTTAACGACAGCAATTTAACTCATTTAGATATTTCAAATAATCAACTTGGAGCTGAAGGGGGGAAAGTATTAGCAGAGGCGCTCAGTAAAAACAAAACACTACTCACCTTAAATCTTAGCTACAATCAACTTGATATTGAAGGAGGATTAGCTTTAGCGGAGGCACTTTCTACAAATACTGCATTAACCTCTTTAAATCTTGGCCAAAATGAGCTTGATTCTGATGTAGGATATGCATTAGCAGATGCACTTTGTAAGAACAATACTTTAACACATTTACATCTTTATAGTAATCAATTAGGCCCAGAAGGAGGAAAAGCATTAGCAGCAGCACTTTGTATGAATTCTACATTGAAATATTTAACTATTGGAGATAATCAACTTGACGCTGAAGCAGGAAGTGCATTCGCAAAAGCACTTTATAAAAATTCTACTTTAACTCACTTGCATCTTTCGAGTAATCAACTTACTGCTGAAGGGGGGAAAGCTTTGGCGAACGTACTCGGTGTGAATGATACTCTTGTTTATCTGAATCTTGCGGATAACCTCCTTGGTTCTGAAGGATGTGAAGCATTGGCTGACGTTCTTTATACAAATGATACCCTAACTAATCTGGACCTTTGGCGTAATAATTTTGGACCTGAAGAGGGAAAAGTTTTAGCAAGAGTACTTTATACAAACAATACTCTAACCTCTTTGAATCTAGATTTAAACCCACTTGGTCCTGAAGGTGGACAAGCGTTAGCAGATGTTCTTAAGAACAATGACGCTTTAACTTTCTTATCTCTTAAACAAACTCAACTTGATTCAGAGACAGGAAAAGCATTTAAAAATGCACTTGACGAAAATACTAGCCTAACTTCTTTAAAACTTGTCGGTAATTATATTGATGTTAAGATTCTTCGTAGAATTCAAGATTTACTTTTAGGGAAAGTTGATTTTAATGACGATTATAATGATGATTACGATGACGATAATGATGACGATTATAATGACGATTATATGGACAACGATTACATGGACAACGATTATATGGACGACGAGTAGAATTTGTATTTATTAAATAAACTGAGACTTTTGTAGATATGACTATAAGAACGCTGACACATATTGATTCATTGTAGGGCGAGTGGGAGGGATGGATATCTTTCACATGTAACATTAGAACTTTGTCAATAGTCTTTATGGGAGGGAGGAAAGGGATTAGCCCTATCAGGGATTCATATGTGTCAACACCTTAAATTTGAATTAAATAAATTAAATTAAATTAACACTTGGAAATAATTATATTCGCATCTGTACTATATGAACAAATATTAATTGTCACTTCTGTATGAAAATGTATTATTAAAGATACTTTTATTGAAAAAATGTAATATCAATTTGACACTACAATTATCGTATTTCTTCGATCAATATGTGTACCCCTGTGAGTTGTACCCTGCAACAGTTTTAGAGGCTAAATTTCCAAATCTCATTTAAATACCGGAATATATACATTTAGGGGTGCGTTGTACGGATAAGAACATACTTTATTATGTTTTTCCCGAGGATATCACATGATAGTATATACTTAGTTACCGGATATAAATCATGAACTAGAGAAATACCAGAGTACATATGTCGGAGAAATATGGTATTAAAAATATCAATTCGATAAACTACTTTAACAAACAATATCATCTGAACAATGTTTAATAAAATTCTAACATGTTCGAATCAAAATATACCCTCATTATAACGGTTGGAAATTTTCACCTATTACTGTACTAAACAAATCTATTCGATCTTTAACTATGATCTAACTTAAGATATAATTACTAGAGAAAGGGAAGTGGCGTACGTGCACAGTTTAGCTCCAATAATTGATTATCTTGGTCAACTGAAGTTATTAATTACAGTTAGGGCCAGAAGCTTTTTGCGTGAGACATTTATAAGAGCCAATTATATTATTTTCTCAGATATGATACCTTTCAAAATCGGTACACACTATGCAACCGTTTTGACAGGGTAGACAGGAGTTTTTTATTTTTATAACAATATACCCGGATAGGTGAAAGACGCCCGGACAGAGCCTTCACTAAATGACAATGTTTAACTCTATTATACAGGTATATTTCAAGTAGTTATGGGACTACGTGTAGGGTCCGAAATCAGGTCTGTTCCACAATTGGTAATTAAAATGATAAACCAGCTTTCAGCAGACGAGCTCCATTTGTACCTCACACGTTTCTACCGCCAGTAGCAGGTTTTTAAAGTCAGGTGAAGCGGGCTCAGGCCCGGACCCGCCTGACTTTAAAGAACTGCTAGCACGTGTGAGGTACAAGGAGCCCGTCTGTTTAAAGTTGGGTTATCATGCTAATCACACATACTGATTTCGGCTTATTTGCCAATTGTGGAACACTCAGCCCTCAAAAATTCCAAAATCGTACGTGCTCCGATTTCGGACCCTAACTACAGGATTAAAAATTCAACTGTCCTACGCCGTAATCTTTTAAAAAAAATTTGATTCTTTTATAAATTATTGAATGTGACAATTAGGCATCACCTATTTTATCCCTTATCGTTATAGTCTAATTTTAATGGTGCACCATTAATAAATATTATAAAAATTTAATGGTACGCCATTAAAATTATGCCTGCACCAGCAGTACCGTCACCAATTGCAATTATATATAGATTTATAAAGAGCTTTAAATTTTAGTGGAGATATTTTTCACCACTCTGTGAAATGTACAACATGCCAAGAGATTAGATGCTTTAACATTGGTCTAATTTTCTGGAATTTATTCAAGGCAACAAATAACATTATCAAAAACCATACAAGTTGTACTTAGAGCAATTCTTGAATGTGTGCCAGGCTAGCGGCACATTAATCAGCCACAGTGATCTCGCGCTCTCGTAAATTTCTTTTTTTATTTCCTATTTCATTTTGAATTGAAGATATAAAGGAAATATGTAATAATCAACACTCTCGATATCGAATTAATAAAATTTAAATTTTGTAAGGATTATTATAAAAGTTGATTATACTTTACATTTAAATAGAGTATATACGGATATTATTACAGTAATTTCGAATGTGTGGTTAAAACTTATAAAATTTAGTTTTTAAAAGTAAACTTCTTTAATAATTAGGGAATGTTACCATTATTCGTTTTTAAGATATGGTTTAGTGTTGATTATAAAAAAGCTCTTTCACCTAAAAAACTTAGTTATAAATTATATAATATACTGTATGTTATTAGCTAACATATTCGTGTTTATTATCAAACTTTTATATTAAGAGCTTTATAAATTATAATTTTCAAAATTTTTATGACCAGAATTCAAATATTATAAAATGAAAGAGTACGACATTTCTTTAAATTCAATAACAATAATATTGATGGTTAAATGTTATGAAGAAATGAAAACAAACGTACTTTTTTGAAAATAAAAGGAGTAAGTAATAGTTTTACATTCCATTAAATTTAGAATTTTATTATCATTATTGTTAGTTTGGTGCAAATTACTTTGTCTGATTAATGCGCCACTAACTTGGCACACATTCATGAATTACGTATAAAGAGAGATCTGACTGTATAAGACAACCCAATTATTCTATCATTCACGATCCTCCACATGATTGGCGTTTATTGCTTCTGATTTTGTTCTTGAAATGCTGTAACAAAAGTAAGTTACAACAGCTAAAACATCTAAAACAACGAATCCTGATATGGCCTCCAGCGCAATAACTGGAATTTTACCATTCGCTTGATTCATTGAATCTTATTGAAACTTTGAATTTCCTAGTAACAAACTGATGTCAGTGGTGACAAGAGTCGTAGCATGACCAATATCGATGCCAATATTACATAAACCCTGGCCTATAATCATGCTTGTGCAGGAAAGCTACATTCTTATATTACATGTAATTTTGTAAATTTCATGTAATTTGATAAAAAAAAGGCATTATCAGCCAAACATCAACCATCGCACGATGAATTTTACTTACTAAAACTTCGCATAAAATTACATAAAAATTACAGTAATTTTATAACTCATATACCTACAATGAAGTCGATATTTCATTTATTTTGACATTAATGCTGTAGTTAGGCGATCTGAATGATCTTTAAGTCCCGATACCAATCAGATCTATCTCCCAAAGCGTTTAAGGTTATTTCATATATGATATGACACCCTGTATTTGCGTGGTCATCACATGTGAGATTTTGCAATTCACATGTGTCGTTCAATAAATCTCATTACTAAGGTGTAACGTGTCAGGGTGCATACCACACTATAAGAGTGTAAGTTATATTCCAAAATGGTAGTTATTGGATTAGAGTTATAATAAAGTTCTAGCCAATTTATACTGTATCCCACATGTGATTTTCTGGGAACCATGCAACTATTCCAGAGCCTCTAGGGTCCTTGTCTATATGTGTAAATAAAGTGAGCTTGAAAACCGGGTTATTTATAACCATAAGACCACACCGAAAAAGGATTATTTGTAATATAATTATTGTTAGCTAGTGACCATGCTGAAGGTGGGCTTACCATTATCAAATTTGTTATTTAATAATAATTATTAGAGATTAATAGTTTGACATTTTTATTTTTAATTGCTATCTCTTTTACCCTGTGATTATTCTGAACAACTGTGTTTAACAAAGTTAATAAACCCTTTAAATTTTTGTGTGCGTTTGTATACATGCATGCAAAATTACAAGTTCATGTGGAAGGTTTGATAAAGAATAGAACGAAAGTAATTCTTTAAGTATGTTGCTTCGTAACGAACTCTTAAAGCACTCTCTATGGTAAATGTAAATGCAGATTTTAACCCAAATTGATGCTTAATCTATATATTATAAAAAATTTGGTCCATGTAAGTTGCATTTAGAGATTTTTGCTGTATTTTAAATTAAAATTATTGTATATGAATCTAATAAAATGCAATACGCGCAGTCTTCATGATAGAAGAACTGTGAAGTTTTTTTTAAAACATATTTTGTACAGTAAGGTCTCTCTAAATACAATGTCAACTGTTTCATGCATCAATCACCACAATAGACATAATTAATACTAACAACGGATAAATTAGCGACAGCATTTCATATAGATTAAATTATACATTTAACCGTAATTATCGTAGTATAAAGTAATACGGTACATGAAAACCTTGATATTATGTACGAATTATGAAGAAAAAATCAATCAAAACCAAAGTAGTTTGTCTAAAACCTAACACGAAAAGGACAGCGCTATTGTAGCACTTTCTTAACCTTAAATATTTAGGCAGTAATTATATTAATACCGATTAGAGTTTATACTTATTAAATTAGCTGATATGAACATAAGAACGCTGACATATATTAGTGGTTCTATCATCTTATGATCGGGTTAGACTCGTGCGAAATTTGCAACACATCTAATACTGTATTATAGACTTTAGCATCGGGCCTAATTTTCTTTTGAAATCATTCAAAATTAGAGTTTTTATTCTCCATTTATCTTTAATATCTACCGCTCAAATTATCACTTTGCAAAATACTACTACAAACAATATTTTCGAATCCTATAATTTCTGTATACAGTATTACCATTTCTAAAACAATGATAATATGCAGATTTTATAGGACTCACAAAAAATCATCTGTCTCTGTATATTACCATTGATTTTAATATTATTTTTATTAAAAGCTTAGTTTGATGAATCTATTGAATGTCAACATTTTCTTGATTAAAAAATTGATTTCGCACATGATATAACGTGAAATATAAATGGAAACGATATTATTATCTCGCACAAAAGACGTCTCTATTTTGAACTTGACAAAAGAGAGAATTGTACTATAATAATATGTATGTTTTATATATTTCTTCTATACATTTCTTTTAGCAAGTTACATATGTGTTACTATTGCTCATACAAAATAGACAAAGAAATTTCATAATTAAATTAAGAATTTATTTCGATTGATTTTTTTAATTCAAGTTTTTAAATGCACTTATTTATATGATCACTCACAATCAAATTATATATGAAGATTATTATATTCGTACATGAATAACAGTAACTCCTTAATGTAAATAAGTAAAAGAATAAATACTATAAATAAACGCCTTTACGGCATCCCATGAGAATTCATGGGTAAAAATAAATAAATAAATCGAATAAAATTTTAATCTTAATTAACGATGACATGCTTCATATATATTAATTATTAATATTCCAATCACTGTATCAAGTCACCGGGTATTAAAAATTATAATTATAAGTATGTGAAATGAATTCATCTAAATTAATATTTATTCAATACATTCTAGCGGAGTCAAGGTTACAAATATTAGAAATATAAAATAATAGTAAGTAGGGAATTTAAATGATGTAGATTTTGTTTAAATGAATTTTTGAAAGCCTTAGTGTGCTCATGTGCAACAGTCAACATGTTAGGCAATGTTTGCAAAAAATTTGTTTCTCGGTTTATTGATGAACATGGTAATGCAGAGTAATTATGTCTCTTGGTACTAGTGTTTGGACTAACTCGTAGCTTAAAAACATAGTCTTAACTCGAATTAACTCGAGTTTTTTAAGCTACGATTTGCTCGAGTCCAAACACTTGGCATAAAATTCTTCGATGAATATGTGATATAAGTCAATGGTCTAAAATGGACCTTGATTCTTTAGATTAATTTTAGCAAACCATTGAAATAGATGATAATGAATCGAACGATGAACCATTACGTAGCAACAGCTTCTTTAAGTTTGGGTCAATGACTGGGACCTTTTGTTCGTCCTGAACTTGATTGGTCTCTAAGCCATCTAATCAAAGCAGAGAAATATTGTCAGTTGTCATTGAAGAAGATGAAAAAGATAGAGAAAGGAGCTTAGATATTCTGAATTAGGGTAAAAGAAGAATTATTAACGTTGAGCCATTAGTTGGTTAAATTAGTCAAAAGTTAACTCTTTAATCATTGTTATGTGTATTTCTAATGACACATAATCCATATTTTTGATGCAGAGGATAATTCTTGCTTTCAACCGTTTTCAAACCATATGATGGAATCTTGTGTTACCTATGAAGAATTCGGAGTAGGAGATCAAATTGAGTTCTCAATTCTGAGTGAGAACGTTGACAGATCGGGATTTGTGCATGTTGCATCTGAATAACCTTCACGAGAATAAAGATATGAGAGAACATTAACTTGGTAAATCACGAAACCATCCTTCTTATGATTCTTCGCTGATATCTTTATTCACAGAAGCCAAAACAATGTGCATTCTGCCTCTCGGCAACATACTGATCTTATTGAACATTGATTATTTATAACATCAGAAAGTGAATAGGGTTAAAGATCAAAGGTGAATACATCGGTTGTTTTTTTAGTGAATAGTCAAAAAATTGTTTACAAGAATGAGAAATTGTCAGACAGTTCACTTGCAGAAGATAATATTTATGATTACTTAATAAAATAAATATTTACCACAAAATTTTTATTTAATAAATACTTGTTATTATATATTATTGCTGTGTCATTTTCAAACGTGATACACAAATTTTGCTAACCTCCGATAGGAGGTGAGCAAAGTTTATCATGTATTAGAAGTGATCCAATAACATGCATGAAAATGACTGGGTACTCACATAATATGTATACAATAAGTAAAAATGCTGTGATATTTACAAAACGAGTCTAATCAAGTTTTAAAGTTTTATCATCACAAATTCAACTCCAAATCATTAAGTTCGTAGGACAATTTAATTCTTTAATAATTATTTATATAAAAAATTTTATCAATCCAAATATACAGTAAATTTTTAACCAATATTAAGGGCCTAGTTGAAAGTAATAATAAATGATTTGCATTTCAAATAAGGAAGTTTTTAACAAATCAATATGAGCAGCAAAAGAAAAGGCTGAAGGAAAGATGATCATATCGACGCCTAAAATAATAGTAAACAGAATTAAAATACAATCAAATTACTTTCTTGAGAATTAAGCCAAATAGATAATAAACATTCAAACCTGTCGTATCTAACAATATTATTATCCTTTTATATTGGATTGGAAATTTCACAATTGATTATGATCGATCATAAGCAAATTGCCAAATTTTGAATTGAATTTATGAGTTATTAATTAAAGTTGTTCAGTACTGGAGTAAATTGATCATTCTTACTCGGTCTTCCAAAATGAAATGTTCGAAGATCATGATCTCTTACACAATATTTCGAAAATTCTATTCAAAATTGTTCATAAGAGGTCAATTTAAATGAAAATCTGTGTCACTTCATCAAAGTTGGCATCATTTGTAACTCTCTAATCTAAGAATAACCTCGTGCTACAAATAAATGTGGCTTTATACATATAAGGCAAATAACTATCACATGCATGATATACATATCTGATATCAATATGATGTAAATACGTACGTACTTACGTTCGTACATCGGAAATAAATTTACGAAAGTACTGTACATACGTACGGTAACACTGAATGTATACAAGCGGAACCTCGTTCTATGATATTTATTACTGTACACATATAAATGCTATCTTTTATTCTCAAATTAATGAAATATAAAACTTCTTCAGATTATATTACAATGTAGCACCATGTTACTATGCACGCGTTACTCTCAATCTCGGCCAGATTTGAGGTTAATGCGTAACACAAATTTCGAGAAGTACATCGTGGTTATTAGACAAGGTGCTATTATACACACAAAATGTGGCTTATATGAAAAGATATGAGTACAACAAAACGAAAACCAATTTCTGATTTCTCTTCACATTGTAGCCCTAAAAGATTTGATCTCGTGTCAGGGACGATGATTTTCTGCGGTGAATAAAACCAAATTCTGCGTGTGATTAATTAAATTTCTGTGATGTGTTTTGGGCATATTCTGTGATATCTCTTGTAATTTCTGCGCTTAATATGATTAAATTCTTACAATTCTGTGATATCTCTTAGTAATTTCCATATAATTCCGCAACTCTCCGACTGCCGTGCTTAGGGATGTTAATGGAGTAAGGTACTCCAGAGTAACTGTGGAATATAACCCACTCCATACCGGTGTGGTCCAGACATGACACCACCTCGGATTACTAAGATATTATTAATAGGAGTAATTGCTCCGGAGTAATACTACTAATACAAAATGGATTATACTCTGGAGTATTATTGTATATATATATTTTACTGTATTTCCCCAAAATAAGGTAGTATATTTTCGGGAAAATACGGTACTATAAACTCCGGAGTATTACATAGTGCTTAACACATAGTACTCTGGGTTATACTCTGGATTATACTCCGGGTTACACTTTGGAGTATGCTCTAATTCATACTTGGGATACTCTGCCAGAGTATGCACCACACCACCCTGGAGCACTCCATTAACATCCCTAAACATGTGCCAAATAATTGCTTATATATCATATAATGCCTAAAGCTACACTAAAATGAGTGATAAATGTTGTACGTTATCCGTCACTGATCTGGAGACTCTAATTGTACTCTCTTTACGCGCGGTCGATGGTCTTGAGATCGCTTATATGGTGTCAATTTGTAGATCTAAATGTTTCATCTAAAGGTTTAGAAAAATTCATTCTATAATAAGCATTAAATCATTTAAACCCAATTTTTTATAAATACGTTGAAAAATTTTTCACGAAAAAAAAAAAATAATAAAATAATCTTCTAAACAAATTATCCTATACAAAAATAAATGAAAAAAAAATGGCTTCTCGCGTCGATCCACCTGTTCCTATGCAACCTCTTTATCCACCTCCAGTAACAATCAATCAACTTAAAGCTATTTATAACGTCAAGGTTAACGGAAAGCTTCCTAAATTACCATCGGCATTCGTCATTTATAGAAATGCATATCGTCAACAACTTATTGCTGTCCACTCGAGAGTAAATTTTCATGTATGGTGAGCAATTCCTATAAACGAGAATCCGTACATGTCAAAACTGTATACAAGAATTTATCTTTGTTATTACGATCTATGAGATGAATCTCGTAGTTCCGATCCCTATGTATGGTTATCACGTGACATCCCATTTATTAGATTTCACCGAACAAAAATGTAAGTTATATATATACAGTTATATGCATACATGCATCGTATCGATTATTCAAAATCTTTGGCATTATCGTTATATGCTTGTTTAAATAGAGCTTTAAGTTTGGGTTTCTTTGTTGTTTTTTTAATGTTTTATTATTATTTGAATAAGATCAAGATTAATCAAACGGTGAATTAATTTGGCAATATCTATCGCAATCGATCAGGCTTGATTGAAGATATATCTTAAACTTGGGCTTATGTCGATATCTATATCGATATAAAATTTGAATATTTATCTAGAATAGTATATATAATAGAATGAGTTAGAAAAAACGGATACCTTTTTTACTTTTTGTACGAATAGCTAATGAAAGAATAATAACAAAAGAAATTGATTAAATGCGGTCAAAAGGGTTTTTTAAAAAGGTATGAGATAGAACGCACAAAATAAGAGAATATAACAAATCAAGTAAATCATTATGATTTAATTGCTTACTTGATCAATATCGAATTCACTCGTACAACCTTCTTTACTTGAATTCGTTTCAAGAAAAAAAAAACTTTATTTTTGCATCTGAAAAAAATGTGATAAATCAATATTACCATGTTTGTTCTTTTTATCTTTCGTGTCCTTTTTACTTTTTCAATGTGACAATATTTTAGATATCTAACGTCTATAGGGCCTTTTTGTAAAATTTTAAGAGACTCAATCAATACAATTAATAAACAATACTGCAGATATTGCAGATTCTTTATATATTTATGTGGAAGCATCATTACAGCATTACTAAAAAAATTTGCTAGAACAAAAAATTCAGAATAGCACGAGTGTACATACGTTGTAAAAAAAAAAGAAAAGAAATTAAATTCTAACTATTTACTATTACTTGGAGTATTATATAAATTGACAATATGGAAAATTTTCTAGAAATGAATGAACTATACTTTTTTTTTGTTTTGAATATACATAAAAAAAAATAGTAAAAACAAATTATTGCAATGAAAAAAATATAAATGTAAAGAATGTAAAGGTATTCATTGAATATTAAAGAAAAATACAGAAATAATTAAAGAATCGAAAATTATGGACGAAATCTTCGTTATTTCTGTACTTAAGAAATAAATTTTGTCCGTTAAAATATATATATATATAATTAGAAAAAATTAGCTTATTTATAACAGATGATGTTGGGCCATACTAGAAGGATTGTTCATTTTTTTTCCATTTTTCCATAAAGTCAAAGATCATTGAAATGAAGAATTCATCACAACCAAGGTTCACCTTCCTTATAGATCACAGGTTTAAAATCTTCTTCAACGCTCAAATAACCAGAATCCTGTCTTTCCTGTTTCTTACATAATGCAATCTTTGATACTGCATTTTTATTCATTAAATACTTGGGATCAATTGAATCTTTAGGAAAAAGTTGAAGATCTTGTTCTGGTTCAGAGTGAAATGTTTTATGCGAAAAATTCATAGTATTTGTAGCGAAAGTTACGATTTTTTGAAGGTCATCAAGTTTACAGGTTGATAAATCTACATTATGGAGTATGTGGCCCGGTAACGTAATAGATCTAAGAGCCGCCTGTAATTAACCCAATAAAGGATTAGAAGATTTTGATGTAAAAAATCGAAAATAACAATAAAAATTCGAATATCAAAATTTTAAGATTGACAATATTTAAGATTGACAATATTTAAGATTGACAATATTTAAAGATTGACAATATTTAAAGATTGGCAAAATTAAATAATCCTTGAATATTGATACTTTTTATTTCATTTATTCACATAGATCAAACTGACCTTATTAATAATGGATGGATTAATATCTTGAACAAGTTTGGACAAATCACCAATCAATTTTTCGATTCTCGTTAATCTTTCTGTCAGTAATTTCATACTATCACCAGTTTCTTTACAATGATTACAATTATTTCGATCTTTTTTCGTAGTATAAGGAGAACGTAACTTTTGAGGGTTATTTGTTAAAAGATTATTATCGTTATTGAGTTTGAGCTTACGAGAGCATGATGGACCACGTATTTTTGACAGGTACTTTTTTTGTTGAGTAATTGCATGAGACATGTTTAGAGCGTTTAATTTCTAGGTGAGATAGGATGTGAGAAAGGTACAAATTATTAAAGGCAAAGAAAAAAAAGAAAGATGCGAACCATTAACGATTTATATAATTGTTTGTAACTCATCCACTACGGAATTTGATCTGCGTTAAATGGAGTTAACAATTCCGATGATTTGATTTAATTGATAACCAATAATAAATTTTAAAATAATATAGAAAAATAAGAGTCACTCCATTCGTAAAGGTAAAATAAAACCATAATGTGGTATGATTTAAATCGTTAAGCTACTGTATGATAATAAAACTAATTTTAGAGTAATGAACATCCTATTACAGAAGAAATGAATATATTGTGGCTGATGCTAGATCAATGTGGCTTATTTAAAATTGGTTAACAACTTTCAAAAATTGATAAATTAAACCGAAACACATACGAGAAAATAGTTAGTATAATATTACCAATTGTCAACAGGTTATTGTTGATTCACCAAAGTGAATTCATAGTTCAAAGTGAAAAAATGAAACACGCAGAACATTTAAAATATCTAAAACTTCTTTCTTTATTCACTAATTATCACAATTTCACACGGTTACGCGTCTTAAAGCATTTAAATATCACCCATAGTCTATATTTAGTAAGATATTACTTATTATGTCACCGTTCAAAATTGTTCATGCCATTGGTAAATATTTGCACAAATTGAAATTAGTTAAACACCTTGTGATATATTATAAACTCCGCCGGAGTGCTTCGTAATTCTGTAAAACTCCGAGTACGCATTCCTCGAAAGGCAAAAGCTGTTATCTTTTTTTTTTGTAATAATTTTATAATTTATAGCAAACAATTAATATTTACAATTTAATTAATTTCTCCATTTGTATTTTTATTCGATCAATGTTTAATACCAAATAAGATCTTTAAAGAAGATTTCCAGTGAAGTTTAAGGATAGCTTGAACTGGGCACACAATGAAATACCAAATGATTCGAAAAAGTATCTTTCTTGATTCGCAAAATAAAAGATTTTTTTTAATTGGTTAAGAATAAATTATATGCACTATTGTATAAATACTGCATTAGTATAAATATATATTTATATATGATGTATCAAAAAAGCCACTTAAACGGGCATAGGCGCAGTAAATGGCTGATAATCTTTTTCCCTTTGGCGCTGGACATCACCGAAAATTCCGGGAATTCATCACATCATGATGCAAATTGTAATCATAAGCCATGTAAAAAACGAAATTATGATGTTAAAGCTCGAATTTAATTTCTACTAAAACTATTAAGGAAAATTATTAAAGAAGATTATTAAAGAAGATTATTAAGGCAAAAGGTAAGGTACGTAAGACTGTTTGGAGATAGTCTAATGTATTTTCAGGAGATCATGTTATGTAAGCATGCAAAAAGATAATGAATTCCAATATATTGACCTGTGGAACAACTAGTGTTCCAGAAATAAAGGATTTGAATAGATTTCAAAACTCTTGAAGGCCTCAAAAATTCCAACCCGTAACGTATTTATCATCATATATGTATATGTTTTCAGATAGTATGCAGGGTTACGTTCCTTGTTTAAAGTGAATAATGAAGCAAAATACTCATTACGAAGAGCTTCTTTGTCTTTCAAGTCTGTTTTTGCTATTTGTCTTGACTGAGAATATCATATCAAAATTACTAAACTTTGTTATATTTGTCACGTGATTTCTTTGAAGGTTCGTTATACAGTTATACAATAATTAATTTTTCCGCACAATTAAAAATACAAAAAAAAACATTCAAAAAAATTTTCTTCCTCATATTCTCATACTGTAATTTTTTAGTTAGAGAAATTGATACATGATCTAATGCTAAATACATCTAAAGTCACATCCTTGACTTGAGAATTACCTTCAAGGTCGGTTAATAAACTGGAATTACGATTCATACAAAAGTTTCGCACTAATTTTGAAAGTGTATGCCAAAATGTTTGCTTATCGTTATATCAATAAAAATTTTTATTTATTAATAATAAAATCAGGAACATCAAAAAAAAAATACGATAAAATAAAATAAAATAAAAAAATCGTTAAGATAAATAATTATTATTATTCAATTGATATTTGTTTAGATTTATCCTTTGAATGACTTTACAATAAAAGCATTCAATTCCATATGAATTACTGCTTATCCTTGCTTTATCTAATATAAAAGTATATGTACAAAAAAAAAGGTATGTAACTAATTTTTTCTTATTCATTCGTTGTCGTTAACCGGTTAACGTTTAAAGTATTGACTGTATTAGCTGCATGGAAATTTCCACAAAACTTTGTGTACCAATTTCGGGAAGCGGAGAAAATTTTCCGCTTGTACGCGGAAGGTGCGGGCGCTGAGCGGATTTGACGGACAAATGGGCGGAGTTTATATATATAGATATATACTGATATATTATTAATAATACGGATCTACCACGATATCCTTCCTTTTTTGATGCATATGTTTCGGATTTGTTTGTGCCAATTGAAATCCTTCACGTGTTATTTCACTTACTTTTCAATAAATAATAAATTAAAAAACTTGGTTTATCTGGTTTATTTGGTTTATCTGTTTTTTATTTTTTTAAAAAAAAGAGTTGCAGGTGCTTGTTTATTTCTCTTGTAATTCTAACGCGTTTCTTTTTTTTATTTTGAATTAGAAGCATTATTCTTATTTAGATCTTGAAACAAATGTCAAACTTATGAATGTTAAAAAGGTATAAGAAAATCTTTAAAGTTTACAACTGTTTCATTACAAAAAAAATTTTAAACTGTTCTCTAACTGTTACGTATAAGTTACTAATTCTATACGTGCTCTTGTATTTCTTTTTTAATCAATTCCAATGTGACATATTTTTCTTATATATAACAAATAATTTATTGTGACATTACTACGCTTCAAAGCTAACCTATTCATCGTTAATAATTGGTCTATTAATTGCTTAGGCGCCAAGCAGGGAAATTTAGCTACAAAAAAGCGACAAATATCGTTTAATATCGATATGGACCAATTTCGATTTTTTATATGTTATCTTATTTTTAAGTTGAGTTTGAACACGTGATGTCGGATTGCGAGTGAGATAAAGTTATCCTGTCAACCTACAATAGCATGTAGTAATTCAATATAGTATTACGAAGTATAGTATTACGAAGCATGGACAACCATGAATTTCGTTGTTCTCATTGAAAATATTAATATTTCTATTGTACACACTTGAAATGAACGACGATCTCTCATGTTCCAAGCCACTGATGATGACAGGAACGGACATATGGATAATTTAATATCAATATACATCGGCTTTAAAAATTCCGAGTGATAAACTTTGCATACACGATTTTGGAGCTCTCTGCCTTCCTATGTATTTCGTAAAAGTTGACCAATTTCTATTTATAGCATATCAATATTTTGTGGGTAACAATTAATTATAAATGCACATCCTTTAAATACTCTTATTTGGCGTACGTTTAATGCATTTCTTCGTCGAGTCAACAAAGAAGTAATCAATATGTATAAAGATAAATTCTTTCATTTCATCTTGGAACGTATTCGCTACCAATAGTATCGTAATAACTATTTTTCAATTTTGCGTATCGCATTTTGCAGTGAACTTCAATGGTCGTATCACCTTATGATATAAACAAAATTATCTTGGCACCTTTAGTGTACTCATCAGAAAAAGCTTGTAACGTAACAAATTTGTGTCGTGATTGTGTTCAAATCCTGTTTAATCGATTTTAATCATAACAAATTCAAAAATGTCGCGTATAATTCTGATTTTGAAATGTCGGGCAATATCTAAATTAGTTAACAGACACCGATTTTAGGATATTTATAAAGACTAAAACTACATATTTCCAATAGGATTAATTAAGTTTGAGTCACTTATTATCATTATTGATTTATGTAAAATTACATAATCTTGCATTTTTATACAGTATGAATGCTTCTTTTTTTTTAAAAAAAAATGCTTTAGATATTTTTGGTAACAATAGTATATTCATTGTAATAATGTGTATATCAGCAGCAAATATTTTATATAGACATCTTAAATTAGGCTATAAATTTTTTAAAATAGTTCTTTATATACTGTATACTTATACAATAATGCTGTATATACAGTCAACCCTTTCTAAATACAACTTGAAGAGACCAAACTGTTAATAGATTGCATTTAGAAAACAATAAAAAAATTGCATTTATGGATTCTGATATATCTTTGGGCTAGAGTTAAAGGTTGCATTTAGAAAAGTATTGCATTTAGAAAAGCATTGCATTTAGAAAAGTGTTGCATTTAGAAAAGTATTACATTTAAAAAAGTGTTGCATTTAGAAAATTGCATTTAGAGAGGTTTAACTGTATTATACATTATTATAATAATAATAAATTAAACTTATTTTTGAAGGCTAATATTAAAATTGATTAATGCTAAATACTGCAATAATTTTACTGTGCTTTTTTTTAAATTATATTTTTAGTATATTTTTGATAGTTCTTTATAATCAAAAAAAGTATAAATGGATTTTAAAAGCATTGTAAATTCAAATAAAGAACATTATTTTTAACTTTCTAAAGTAGATCAAGTATTTTTGCATTGAATATTTAGTTAAATTATACGGCAAATATCACATTAGAATATACTAGTACGTATGATTTAGTAAAACATTAAAGGATTTAATTAATTAACAATAATACTTTAATTAACAGGCCTATTTACAATATGTAGAAACTAATCAAATTTTGAGAATAAAGTGTGATAATACTGTACATAACATATCTGAAAATTCATATTTAAGTATATAAATTACAATAAATAGACATAGAAAAAAATTTTAATTAACAAATTAAAAAATTTGCCAACTATTTGTTGCTATCACGTGATAATATAATCGGTAATATCTACAGTGTAGACGTTTCAGAAGATCTAACTTCGAAAATAGATTATAAGACCGACACATCTGAACATGGCTAAAACGCAGCTAATATCTGCCATGCTCAATGATGCTAAAATTGCTACTTCAGGTAAAGAACGTTGAAATCAGGGATTTAATCTCAGTATAATCTGTAGATATTGTAGAAGATCTGACTTCGAAAATAGATAATAAGAATGATACATTTGAAGCGCAACTAATCAATGTTACGTGCCACGCTCAATGGTATTTAAAGTTGCTACTTCAGGCAAAGGACGTTAAAATCAGGGATTTAGTTTCAGTTAGGTGCAACTTTAGTGTTAGGCGTCTGGAGTAGCAACTCCGCGCAGGCAGATCTGCATAGTATGACAAAATAATACGTACAGGTAAAATATGATCATCATAGTCAGACTGAGGGCACTTCTCTCAATGAATTCAATAAAATAATCTGATTGGCCAGTTTGATATGACGGCTAATTGGATTCATTGTTGAGTTCATTGAGGGAGATGCTTGAGAACGCCCTGAGTCATGAGATTTGACCTGCAAGAATTAGGTTTTTCGACAATTCTTTGATATATTTATAGTGTCGTCAATCACAATGTGCTATTAAGGTTTAATAAAAATATAAAAATAGTATACGTACTATTTAATTATATAATATATATGTATCTATATTATTAATTTGTCAATGTTTAAATTTCTGGTTAAATAGCTTCGATTAAAAATTTTTGTGAAGTGTTGTTTATTACGTAATTTTTAGCAGTCTATTACGTTTATATGTAATATATAAACATTTTGATTGGCTGTTAACTCAATCACCTAGAGGGGAGGAGGTTTGGCTTTCTAATAAAAGAAATTACATAATAAGCGGCACTTCCTAAAGTAAAAAAAAAACTATTAGCTAAAAAAAAATTTAAACTATTGTCTTTGTTTTAATAATAGTTAGATAGCAAAATTAATTTAGTAATTTTAAAATATTTGAAATTAAAAATTGACAAAACATTCGGATAATAATTATATTGTAAACCTATCAATGTACAAGAAATATCAAAATTTTTTTTTTTTTAAGCGATCCTGCCTTTATTTATTTTATGAACTACTATGTGATATTTTTACTAAAGTATTACATCATTATAGTGTGGCTCTCTATTCTAATAAAGACTCTCCAAGCTAAATGCTCAAAGCAACCTGCTATAACAACTGTTAGTCTTTTCTGAGATTCAAAACTTGTTTCAAATTTTGCAATGACAAAGGTTGCTTTCAAGATCACTGACAGGCTATTGTATACCACATCAGGATCTCTTTTCCCTTCTAATTCTTCCTTCTTCTCAAGGGCATGAGACCAAGAGGTGAAATTTATAAAAAGGTTTTATAAAAACAACTATGAAAGATAAAAGAAAAAACAGAAAAAGAAATACAGATTTTGAAAAAGAAAAAACAGAAAAGAAAAGTAAGACTCTAATGGCACTGTTATAACCCATGCTAGTTTGTAAAAAAAATTATATAACAAATGCAATATTTGTATATCTCTAGTTTAAAGCTTCATCTTATTATTTAATTTACTTTCTAACCTGACAAACAACACCTGATAACTTCATTGCCTAGCCTAATCTGGTCTCAAGCAGTTGGCCAATCTGCTACTGCAATTAGAGATCCTGAGCTAATTGAAATTAAAATTAATAAAATATACAAACTTGCTTATTACAAATATAAATATACAGTATTAGTAAATTTGCAAATTTTTATATTTATATTTTTAATTACAAATATTTTTTTTTATTGTTAAGAGTGTGCCAGGCTGATAGAAATTATATAACAAATGCAATAATTGTTATCTTTATTGTAAGACTTTATCTTAAACTTTTAGGCTTTTTGATTAGTCCATTACCCTCAGATATTTTTTTAACCAACAGGTTCTGGGGTTACAATCTATGTCTTAAGAAGTAGCACTATCCCTTAAACCATCAGCAGTTAGCAGGCATATTTGGCTGCTAAAATGTTAAAATAGTTGTTTTTGATCTATTTTTATTAAAATTTAAAATATTTTATATATTAATATTTAAAAATAAGGATTATAAAATAGTAATATTTATTTTTAAATTATAAGAAAAAAAAATAAAGTTGTCTATATAGTAAACTTTTAAAAATCAATTTTTTTTTAAAAAAATACAAAATTTTATCTTTATTCATTGACAAACTTTTTAAAATTCTAAGTATAAGTCCTATATAATTTTGATACAAATTGTAGAATTTGGTTTAAAAAATAACTTTAATTATTGAAATTTTTATAATTTTATAAATAAAATTTTAACTTTTTATAATAGCAAAAATTTTTTTTATAGACAGAAACATATAAAAATTTAAAAATTAATAAAAAATATTTTAAAAATTTTATAATAAAATTTTAGAATTGCTTTAATACTATTAAAATTAAATTAAAAATTTTACTTAATAATGATTAAAAATATCTCAAAGTTTTATTTTAGCTTAGAAATAGGAGAAATATGCTTAATAAAATTTCAAATTATTGTAAAAAATATGAAAAAAATACATTCTAGTAGGCATATTTGCCTGCTAGAGATATTATATTGACGCTATATATTTGTTAGATGATAGCCATTTTGGCAATTCATATCTACATACTGCTTTATAAAAGTATTACAGAGAAATAATATTAATATGAACTTACATGATTCTGGAAAAGATTACTAAGTTTGTGCGCTTATTATTTTATAGTTGTTCTTATAAATTTTGAGACACCTTCGTTTATTACAGAAATCAAAAACTTATTAAATCGGCCAAACAATCATTTGGTCAAGATGCCCCAAAATTTGAGAGTAGCTGTAATAATACATAGTTCTAATAATAATATTCAGCATTATAGCTATTTCATAATTCCTAGAACACTTAATAAAAATTAGCCAAATGATTTTTCAGCCGATTTGATTAAGTTTAAGATTTCGGCACAATATATAGATTCAATAAAATTCATATATATACGTAATTTAAGATTAGGTAACTAATATATAAATATTATTGAATTTACTTTCAAAGCATCTTCGCTGGAAAATATTTGAAAAAAAAATTTAGAAGGCCTATTATTTCAAAAAGTTGCCAAACATTTAGGTTTTAGTATATCTTTTATAAATCAAATTCTCAAACACTTTCAAAAATATGGATGTATTAAAAGCCTCTATCACTTTCAGAACCATTTTCACTGAACATGAATAATACAAAATATTTTAAAACTTTAATGAAAAAAAACCTGAATAGTATTTGTATTGTATGAATTGTATTTCGAGATGGAACTCTAGTTAGGCATAAAATTAGTCTTATGACAATTTGAAGGGCTATGAACCAACTTGTATATACAAATAAAAATAATATTTTATTTATATACAAGATCTTCTTTTAACATGTACTTCATGCAATATGTTTAGGTTAAAAGTCTAATTAATATTTAGTACATTTTTTATATTTCTTGTTAAGACTTATTGATACACTAAACATGTTGGATAAGCATTCGATCGAAAATTCAATAAGGTTGGCATTATTGTTACAACAGTCTGTAAAACAATTATTATGATATGGTTTATGTCAAAATTGCAAACTTAATCGAATCAGCTAAAAAATTATTTGGCCAATTTTTATCAGGTATTCCAGGAATTATGAAAATAGCTGTAAATAGAATTAATTTTGTTAATAAAATTTGTCGCATACATAAAAAAACAACTTTATACATATAAAGTAGTATTCTAAAAGTATGTAAATGTTATAAATTTATACTAACAGCTAACAGCTAAATGCCAAATAAAAAAATAAACTTTTTTGATAATCACAATAAATTTGTATTACAAACTTGGACAATGTCTGAATATTTGAGTTCAAGTATGTCTGAGTCCGATATATATTACTTGGACATTGTCTGAGTGACAATATATCTCTTGAACATAATTCAGACTTAGACATTGGACAATGTCCGAAAATATCCAAGTCTGCTATATTTAACTCGGATATTGAAAAATATACAACACTGCCTTACCTGATGACAAAACAAAGCCATTAGCAAGAATCTATATTAAAAAAAAAAAAAAGAGAAAAAACTGGAAGAAAAGCCAGAAGTTGAAGAACTAGATCCAACACAAAAGAAAGTGAAACTAAAAAAAAAAAAGAGAGTAAAAATATCAAAGAAAAAGAAACCCAAAATTAGTAGATGATCAGTTTATTTATTTATAAGTTTCAATTATGTAAGCTACGTTATAAATGCTGAAATAACTAAAATTAATCCAGAAGTCTAGAAAAATCTAACCCAAAACAAAGAAAATGACCATTTTCTAGATAATAATTATTAGAAGAACTTTTTTTTTTAAAAAAAAAATTTTACAAATTTATTACTGGAAAATTGGAATTTTCAGAGAAAATTTTAAAGAAGATGAAAAATAAAAAACACTAAAAACAATACAAGAAAAAAATCTGAAAAAAATAAGAAAAGATAATAAAAATAGCAACTATTCTATATACAAAAATGCCCTAGCCTCTTCTCACCCTTTCATTTTCTTCCTCCACTCTTCTTCTTTCACTATCATCTTTTTTTTTTCTTCTTCTTTCTTTCTTGAATTGATAAAGAAAATCTTGGTAAGCAGCATTCTGAAGTGTGAATGAAGAGCAATACCAGTCCCGTTCTTCAATAAGAGCTTCCTGCTTCTGCTCCTAACAAATGAATTGCTGCAAATAGTCAAGAGCCATACGGTCAAGCTCTGCAATAGTTGCAGCCTGGTCTTCTGCTTGTTGCTACAACTACCTATAGATACGATATTAAAGTTAATTTATCTATATATCTATATATATATATACATATACGTACAAAATATCATTACTATTATTATTATTATTATTATTATCACTATTATCATTATCATCACTATCACTGTCAAAATTACATGAAGACAGAAAATAAGACATGTTTGAAGTAAGTTGAAAAGTATAGCACAAGAACAAATTAAACAATTTTATCAAACTATCTATATGAAATCAAGATTCAAAAAAATTTTACCAAAGATAGTAGTAATACTTGTGCAATTATTACCAAATCGAATTACTAAAATGAACAGAATTTTTACACAACTGAACTAATCAAACAGATCCAAAACAATTCATATAACAATTACTTATTAATACCAAAACCCAATACTTGGAAAACCAAAAAGCAATAACAAATAGAACAAGTATTTTAGTATCTCTACTAATTGAAGAAATCAAGTACAAGTCCAGAATAATTTTTTTATCCTATTATCAAGTTCAATTTTCAAGCTCAAGCTCTATGGGCAAAGCTTTAT